TGTCTCAACATCAGCTCCAGCAACCGCTGCTTGTCTCAGACATCAGCTCCAACAACCTGCTGCTTGTCTCAAACATCAGCTCCAGCAACCTGCTGCTTGTCTCAGACATCAGCTCCAGCAACCTGCTGCTTGTCTCAGACATCAGCTCCAGCAACCTGCTGCTTGTCTCAGACATCAGCTCCAGCAACCTGCTGCTTGTCTCAGACATCAGCTCCAGCAACCTGCTGCTTGTCTCAGACATCAGCTCCAACAACCTGCTGCTTGTCTCAAACATCAGCTCCAGCAACCTGCTGCTTGTCTCAGACATCAGCTCCAGCAACCTGCTGCTTGTCTCAGACATCAGCTCCAGCAACCTGCTGCTTGTCTCAGACATCAGCTCCAGCAACCTGCTGCTTGTCTCAGACATCAGCTCCAGCAACCTGCTGCTTGTTACTGCAGGCTGTTACTGCTGGCCGCACGCAAGCTGACGTACGAACCACAGCCCGGTTGGTCAGGTACTGACTTTAGGTGCCTGTCCAGTGCCTTCTGGAAGACAGCCAGGGGTCTATTGGTAATCCCCCTTATGTATACTGGGAGGCAACTGAACAGTCTTGGGCCCCGGACACTTACTGTGTTGTCTTTCGGTGTACTCGTGGCGCCCCTGCTTTTCATCGGGGAAATGTTGCATCTCCTGTCGAGTCTTTTGCTTTCACATGGAGTGATTTTCGTGTGCAGGTTTGGTACCAATCCCCCCAGGACCTTCCAAATGTATATTATCATGTATCTCTCTCGCCTGCGTTCGAGGGAATACAGATCAAGGACCTTCAACCGTTCACAGTAGTTTAGGTGCCTTATCGTACTTATGTGTGCTGTGAAAGTTCTTTGTACACACTCCAGGTCTGCAATGTCGCCAGCCTTGAAGGGGGGCGTTAGTGTACAGCAATATTCCAGCCTAGAGAGCACAAGCGATTTGAAGAGAATCATCATGGGCTTGGCGTCCCTAGTTTTGAAGGTTCTCATTATCTATCCTATCATTTTCCTAGCGGATGAGGTAGCTACATTGTTGTGGTCTTATTATTAATATAAGTGCAATTACAATAATTACCTGGAGTTTACCTGGAGAGAGTTCCGGGGGTCAACGCCCCCGCGGCCCGGTCTGAGACCAGGCCTCCTGGTGGATCAGAGCCTGATCAACCAGGCTGTTGCTGCTGGCTGCACGCAAACCAACATACGAGCCACAGCCCGGCTGATCCGGAACTGACTTTAGGTGCTTGTCCAGTGCCAGCTTGAAGACTGCCAGGGGTCTGTTGGTAATCCCCCTTATGTGTGCTGGGAGGCAGTTGAACAGTCTCGGGCCCCTGACACTTAGACGCACTCTTACTCACGTTGTGATCAACTACTGTATATTAACAACAATATACACGATTAGTGCTGCCACAAGACTCGCTCTTGAGCCTCAGTGAAATTAAACAAACTGGTAATGCAAATAACTTGATGACCCACTGTGTGAGGAAGCAACCCACGGATAATACATGTAGTGCAGACTGGAACCTTTGCTAATGTAACTTGATCTCCAGTTAGGAAGGTAGGTACTTATGACCTTGATCGTGTAGGAAGATAGGTACTTGTGACCTTGATCGTGTAGGAAGATAGGTACCTGTGACCTTGATCGTGTAGGAAGATAGGTACTTGTGACTTTGATCGTGTAGGAAGATAGGTACTTGCGACCTTGATCGTGTAGGAAGATAGGTACCTGTGACCTTGATCGTGTAGGAAGATAGGTACCTGTGACCTTGATCGTGTAGGAAGATAGGTACGTGTGACCTTGATCGTGTAGGTTAATCAGTACACGCAGACAAAAACACAACGAACATAAACCATGGTAGATAAGACATATAGGCAACATTTAGGCAACTTTATTCCGAAACGTTTCGCCTACACAGTAGGCTTCTTCAGTCGAGTACAGAAAGTAGGCAGGAGCAGTAGAGATGTGAAGACGATGTAATCAGTCCATCCATACAAGTACTTCTAATTAGGGTAGACACAGTTACACAAACTGTTATACGTGCATTTCTACATGCTTAAAATCTCAATAAAATTGTGATATTTGTTACTCTGGGTTAGGTTAGGTTAGGTTAGGTTAGGTTAGGTTAGGTTAGGTTAGGTTAGGTTAATCTATATTAACCCAACAGTAACGAAATAAAGATGCTTGGTACTACGTGCGACAGCGCTGGGCGTATACTCAACTTTTGTCCGTGTACTTGACTCACGAAATCATGACACAATTGCAAACAAACCATACCACGGGTGGGGATTGAACTCGTGGCGAGTGGGTCGTAAAACTTCAGGCCAGCACGTAAGCCACTAGACCAGCTGGCCCAGTAGCCCCGAGTTCAATTCCCGCCCGTGGTATGGTTTGTTTTGTTCGTGTATTTTCACACTCAAGGTAAACAATAAAATGGTATAAAATACCGACAGGTTGTTTAGGTAAGACACATATGCAACAGTTAGGTATCTTTATTTCGAAACGTTTCGCCTACACAGTAGGCTTCTTCAGTCGAGTACAGCAAAGTTGATAGAAGCAGAAGAGACTTGAAGACGATGTAATTAGTTCATCACCCTTAAAGTTTTGAGGTGGTCAGTCCCTCAGTCTGGAGAAGAGTATTGTTCCATTGTCTGGAATAATATGGAGTTGAAGTGATAGGATGGAGCCTTATATAGCGCCAGGAGGTGAGACGTAGGAGAATGGCTGGATTTGAGAGGGACCTGACCTCTCAATGTCTACATTCTTACTCTACTAGTGACCTACGTCTCACCTCCTGGCGCTATATAAGGCTCCATCCTATCACTTCAACTCCATATTATTCCAGACAATGGAACAATACTCTTCTCCAGACTGAGGGACTGACCACCTCAAAACTTTAAGGGTGATGAACTAATTACATCGTCTTCAAGTCTCTTCTGCTTCTATCAACTTTGCTGTACTCGACTGAAGAAGCCTACTGTGTAGGCGAAACGTTTCGAAATAAAGATACTAACTGTTGCATATGTGTCTTACCAAAACAACACTCAAGGTAACAGTGTGAAGGACACATTGCTTGGTGATGCTCGGTCAACACCTTGACACATATGTAGCGCTCATTTTGATCAAAAGAAATCATATGTACTTTAGCACAAAAAAAAACTAAATAACCTAACTTTAAGTGAAAGTAAAATATTTAAATCTAAGGTATAAACTTTCAACAAATGATGGTGATCAATGAACACTAATATACAAGCAATAAAGTGAAGACAAGTTGCAACTCAGCGTATACTCACTAATATAATAATATATAAGCAAGAATGAGGCAGCAGGGATGACGAGGTGACCTCCATACCAGCCTCCACAACTGACTAATTTGCTTGGTCAGGAGAAATGGTTAAATTACTCAGTCTATAAGTCACTCGTTTTCTCTAGACTGTAATATTGCTGTATATTAACGGCCTCCCCTTAAAGGCAGGAGAAACTGCAAAGCTGGTAAACGTAAATAACTAAAAAAGGCACAATACCGTGACTGGAACGATACACAAATAACCCGCACATAAAAGAGAGAAGCTTACGACGACGTTACGGTCCGACTTGGACCATTTACAAAGTCAGTGTGACTGGTAAACGTACACACAACCTTCACTACCCGTATAAATATAGTCAAGCATCTGAACTACTGGGAACGCTGGAAGCCCGTTCATTATACTCCTTAGAAGGTAGAGGAAGATACATCATAATTTACACCTGGAAAATCATGTAAGGCCAGGTACTAAACCTGCACACTGAAATCACTCCATATGAGAGCAAGAGACTTAGCAGATATTTGCTGTTTGGAGGGACAGCCGAACTGTTGTATCTACGATCGTCTGTTAGGACAGTGATAGTGTGAATGATGATGAAATCGTTCCCTTTTTGGCATTTGGCAAATGTGATCATGGAGTGATATTCCATAAAGTGAGATCAACAGGTATAACAGGAAAAGTAGGGGAAATGGATATTCAACTTTCAAACTAAAAGAGCACAAGACTGGTAATAAACAAAGTTTAATCTCAGTAAAGTAAAAATATCAATACCCCAGGGACGGTCCTGGCACCTATATTACTTATAAAAGATTTTGATCAAATAATCACAGCTTCGTATCAACCTTTGTGAACGAATAAATAAATATAAAAGTCGCCTCAGTAGACGATACAGAAAAAAGTTAGAAATTAACTAAGTCTGCCACTGGACAACAGAAAATAACACGACAATCAATGTTGACAAATTGCCGTGTGGAGATTTGGGGCCAATCTCTCCAGAATCTGAGGAAATGGTATGGTGATACCGACAAGATGTGGAAAAAGACACTTATGTACAGTTCAGGACATTTATTAAAGGGAACGTTTCGCCACGAGTGGCTTCTTCTTCATTAGGACTGAAGAAGCCACTCGTGGCGGAACGTTTCCTTTAATAAATGTCCTGAACTGTACATAAGTGTCTTTTTCCACATCTCCAGAATCTCCCAGGTGTGAATTATGATTTATCTTTCTCGCCTACGTTCCAAAGAGTACAATTCAAGGGACTTTAATTAAGCGTTCCCAATAATTTGTGTGCTTGACTGAATTTATATTTGCAGTGAAGGTTCAATGCACATTCTCTAGATATAACATTCAAGCCCCACCCGTTCTGTGACTTGACTTGAAAAATATCATCGCTGGTTCAGCATCTGTTGTCCCGAAGTTTTCTGTAGCCTCCACCACAACCTTATTCAGTTCGGATTTTTGTTCGCTCATCAAACGTTTATATTTCTTATGTATTAACGAATAAACTATATCGAAAAAATTGTCAAAATCTTGCGTAAGAAATCTACGTTTACTGAAAGGAAACGTGATGTTTTTCTGGCATCATATTTTATTGCGAATGTTAGATTTTACACTTCCCTGAGTTTCGGATTTGTTTAAAATTTAATTCATACTAAATACACAGAAAAGTAAACAGGTAAAAGAAGACTCACACGTAGGTCCAGAGAATGTCCATGGTTGTGATGCTGCTGGTTGTGATGCTGCTGGTTGTGATGCTGCTGGTTGTGATGCTGCTGGTTGTGATGCTGCCGGTTGTGATATAGTGCTGGTTGTAGAAATATTGATGGTGGTGGTGGTGGTAGTGAAGCTGATGGTGATAATAGTAATGATAGTGCGGGTTACCATCACATGGGTCTACTAGCTGCTCCTGCCTCTCCCGTCACACCATCTACCACCTTCACCATCAACATCCCTTCCTGTGTCAAGCTTCACACTGTTACATTACTTTCACTAACTTCTCAAAATTTTATTCACTTCATTTGCTGCACCATGCACACTACACTATACAACACACCCACTACACTATAAACACACCCACTACACTATACAACACACCCACTGCACTATATTACACACCCGCTACACTATATTACACACCCGCTACACTAGAGTACACGATGTAGCACCACACTACAGCCACCTGACAATCTTATTTACTGCAGATCTTCTCTTAAATATTTGACTCACATTAAACACTGACCACTACAAATGTCGTCATGCGACCCCACATACTGATAACTTTCCTCAGAGAAAAGTGGATCTCTTTCTCAGGAAGCAGACGTCTGAAACTCTGAATCTACAAGGAAACACTCCCATGATGCTGCTGCTGCTGCTGCTGCTGGCCAGGAAACTCACCTCAACGTCTCACTTTCGCGCAACCATCCGAGATTGTCTACTTCCCTACACTGCAATTATTGGCAAATTATTATTTTAAGAGGAAATGAGTATTAATTAAACTTGGGAATAATGTTGTCTAGCTTTATATGAACACTGCGTCTCTCTCCTTGAAAAAAAATTATTAGTTTTCATTCAGAATGCTGGCGGTAACAGCCGCAACCAGGTCAAAAATTATTTTTTTTCTTCTTAGAAGTCAATCTGAACTATTGCTAGTTCTTCTAACATACGATCAGTGCCTTGATTGCTTCCTGCCTGCACGAAACTAGCAGCAGCAGCAGCACAAGTGGCTCACAACTGATTGTGGCAAGTCTCACACCAACTCATAGACAACTGACTCTACTAAGCCTCACAGTAGCACAGATACAGTTAGGTAGCTGACTGTGGCAAGCCTCACAGCAGCACAAACACAGCTGACTGTGGCAAGCCTCACAGCAGCACAAACACAGCTGACAGTGGCAAGCCTCACAGCAGCACAAACACAGCTGACTGTGGCAAGCCTCACAGCAGCACAAACACAGCTGACTGTGGCAAGCCTCACAGCAGCACAAACACAGCTGACTGTGGCAAGCCTCACAGCAGCACAAACACAGCTGACAGTGGCAAGCCTCACAGCAGCACAAACACAGTGACAGTGGCAAGCCTCACAGCAGCACAAACACAGCTGACTGTGGCAAGCCTCACAGCAGCACAAACACTGATGACTGCAGAGTTAGTTGGTGTAAACCTCACACCAGCAGAGGTGTTCAGCAGGCCCAGGGCAGCAGCTGGACCTCAGCTCTGCGGCTACAAGTGCCACACTGACGGGTGCCAGGGAGTGCCACCATGACGAGGGGTGGGTTAAGGCAGTGCCGGGCGGCCTGCAATGAGCCAGGCACGCCTCTGACAACACGTTAAATATCCCCATCACCATCACCAATTGTGGCAGGGAGTGGGCACGGCTGGGTGAGGCCGGGCACGGCTGGGTGAGGCCGGGCACGGCTGGGAGAGGCCATATATGGCTGGACTGATCACTCGGACTGTTGGTGCTAGCAACAAGCAGTCTAACATAGACACCACAGCCAGGCTATTCAGGAACTGACTCGAGAAACTTATCAAACATTTTCTGAAGGTAGATATATCCCGGTAATTACCTTTATATATAAATAGAAGGTCTACGATGTATTTGTTGCTCAAAGAAATAAGCTGGAAAGATAGACTGAGTAAAAGCAACATAAACCAGTGCTTCAAGATAAGCTTAATGGCACTATGCGCGCACCACACTCATTCTACTCAGAATAAAACAGAAAATGCAAGTTAGAAATATAAAAAAGGCTTCTGTAGAGGCGGAGAAGAATCACACAACTTCTCAAGAAGAAAAAGAATTACTAGATAGAGAAATGAAAAACATGGTGGTTCTTGTTATCCAATTTATTGTTGTTGTTGGGGTTTATAAAGTCACTGACAGCTTGCGCCGTACTGAGCCCTTTTATCAGTTGTTGGGGTTTATAAGGTCACTGACAGCTTGCGCCGTACTGAGCCCTTTTATCAGTTGTTGGGGTTTATAAGATCACTGACAGCTTGCGCCGTGCTGAGCCCTTTTATCAGTTGTTGGGGTTTATAAGGTCACTGACAGCTTGCGCCGTACTGAGCCCTTTTATCAGTTGTTGGGGTTTATAAGGTCACTGACAGCTTGCGCCGTACTGAGCCCTTTTATCAGTTGTTGGGGTTTATAAGGTCACTGACAGCTTGCGCCGTACTGAGCCCTTTCATCAGTTGTTTTATAGGATCACTGACAGGTTACGCCGTATTGAGCCTTTTTATCATTTTTACAGATGATAGTAACTGTGGTGGTTCTGAAATGTAAGATCGTCCAATTTCGTTACTGTGTGTGTAACTTAACGGTCTTCGGCTTTACTGAGTGGTTTCAGTGTTTTACACTTAGCTCCATTTTTGTCTTCATTTTTCGTTGCCTGAGTAACTGAAATTTATCATTATTGAGCACCACACTGTGTCCCGGGCTCAGTGAAGTATTTGATTTACGTTGACATAAGATTTACTGTGCCATATACAAGAGATGCATACGAAGTGCACAATAAACCAATCATTACCAACCACAACATGAATATGAGGTGCACAAACCAATCATTACCAACCACAACATGAATATGAGGTGCACAATAAACCAATCATTACCAACCACAACATGAATATGAGGTGCACAATAAACCAATCATTACCAACAACATGTGAGGTGAACAATAAACCAGTCATCACCAACAACATGTGAGGTGAACAATAAACCAGTCATCACCAACAACATGTGAGGTGCACAATAAACCAGTCATCACCAACAACATGTGAGGTGCACAATAAACCAGTCATCACCAACAACATGTGAGGTGAACAATAAACCAGTCATCACCAACAACATGTGAGGTGAACAATAAACCAGTCATCACCAACAACATGTGAGGTGAACAATAAACCAGGCATCACCAACAACATGTGAGGTGAACACTAGAGGCAAAATACGTGTTAATCTACACCTGTAAGCAGATGTTGCACTGGAAGTGCGCAGTAAGATGTACGCAAGACAAATGCACAAGACACACCTGTGTTATACAGGCAGGTGACGGAAGCACTCATCAACCAGTGATCATCGGTGATGAATTGTAATCAATCATACCCACACTCTTTGGCACCCCTTCCTCTCTCTCTCTCTCTCTCTCTCTCTCTCTCTCTCTCTCTCTCTCTCTTTCTCTCCCCCGAGTTGCACCCCCCACACCCTTCCTGCCACACCCTCAACCATACCATGTATATACATGTATATGCATAACAAGGGGCTTTCTGCAGTATGTCCCGATGTCAGCTATGGCCTCTATAAGTTGCATTACTTGCAGAAAGATTATTGCTATTATTATTGGCGCCCCTGCACACACCTGTACATTACCCATAGACAGTCTCGAGGGTTACTGCTCGGTTCCACACCAGGCATCTCGGTTCCTTGCCTGATCGACCAGGTTGTTGGTGGTAGCTACATACAGGCTGGTGCTTGCCTGGTTAACCAGGTTGTTGGTGCTTACGGTCGCTACCCCGTGTAAGTTTGGGTTTTAAGGACCAAGTACTAAATGGTTGTTTTTTATTTGGATTCTGCATATGAGAAAGTATTTTGGATTACTGTCAGTTTCATCATGGGCGCCAACACATTCTTCCTTCCACACCCACAGCCGTGGGCGTCTTCCCCACGCTAACACCATTAACATGGGCGCCAACACATTCTTCCTGCCACACCCACATTCGTGGAAGTCAACAAGAGAGATTGAATAATCGACAAAATAATTAACGAGTGTCAACTTTATCCGCAAGCACCAGCAGGCAGCAGGAGGCAGGCATTATGATGCAGGCAGCAGGAGGCAGGCATTATGATGCAGGCAGCAGGAGGCAGGCATTATGATGCAGGCAGCAGGAGGCAGGCATTATGATGCAGGCAGCAGGAGGCAGGCATTATGATGCACGCAGCAGGAGGCAGGCATTATGATGCACGCAGCGGGAGACAGGCATTATGATGCACGCAGCAGGAGGCAGGCATTATGATGCACGCAGCGGGAGACAGGCATTATGATGCAGGCAGCAGGAGGCAGGCATTATGATGCACGCAGCGGGAGACAGGCATTATGATGCACGCAGCAGGAGGCAGGCATTATGATGCACGCAGCGGGAGACAGGCATTATGAATGCACGCAGCAGGAGCAGGCAATATGATGCAGGCAGCAGGAGGCAGGCATTATGATGCAGGCAGCGGGAGACAGGCATTATGATGCAGGCAGCAGGAGGCAGGCATTATGATGCACGCAGCAGGAGGCAGGCATTATGATGCAGGCAGTGGGAGACAGGCAGCATGATGCAGGCAGCGGGAGGCAGGCATTATGATGCAGGCAGCAGGAGGCAGGCATTATGATGCAGGCAGCGGGAGGCAGGCATTATGATGCAGGCAGCAGGAGGCAGGCATTATGATGCAGGCAGCGGGAGACAGGCAGCATGATGCAGGCAGCGGGAGACAGGCAGCATGATGCAGGCAGCGGGAGACAGGCAGCAGGTTGTATACAAGATGCTTGGTAACAGGTGGTATATCATAACTCACTGGTGTCACGTCCCTAATAATGTAGTGTAACTACACGCTACACCAGCCTGGGTGTAACTACACGCTACACCAGCCTGGGTGTAACTACACGCTACACCAGCCTGGGTGTAACTACACGCTACACCAGCCTGGGTGTAACTACACGCTACACCAGCCTGGGTGTAACTACACGCTACACCAGCCTGGGTGTAACTACACGCTACACCAGCCTGGGTGTAACTACACGCTACACCTGCCTGGGTGTAACTACACGCTACACCAGCCTGGGTGTAACTACACGCTACACCAGCCTGAGTGTAACTACACGCTACACCAGCCTGGGTGTAACTACACGCTACACCAGCCTGGGTGTAACTACACGCTAACACCAGCCTGGGTGTAACTACACGCTACACCTGCCTGGGTGTAACTACACGCTACATCCAGCCTGGGTGTAACTACACGCTACACCAGCCTGGGTGTACTACACGCTACACCAGCCTGGGTGTAACTACACGCTACACCAGCCTGGGTGTAACTACACGCTACAGCAGCCTGGGTGTAACTACACGCTACACCAGCCTGGGTGTAACTACACGCTACACAAGCCTGGGTGTAACTACACGCTACACCAGCCTGGGTGTAACTACACGCTACACCAGCATGGGTGTAACTACACGCTACACCTGCCTGGGTGTAACTACACGCTCACACCAGCCTGGGTGTAACTACACGCTACACCAGCCTGAGTGTAACTACACGCTACACCAGCCTGGGTGTAACTCACACGCTACAACCAGCCTGTGGTAACTACACGCTACACCAGCCTGGGTGTAACTACACGCTACACCTGCCTGGGTGTAACTACACGCTACACCAGCCTGGGTGTAACTACACGCTACACCAGCCTGGGTGTAACTACACGCTACACCAGCCTAGGGTGTAACTTACACGCTACAACCTGCCTGGGTGTAACTACACGCTACACCAGCCTGGGTGTAACTACACGCTACAGCAGCCTGGGTGTAACTACACGCTACACCAGCCTGGGTGTAACTACACGCTACGCCAGCCTGGGTGTAATTACACGCTGCACCAGCCTGAGTAACTACACGCTACACCAGCTTGGGTGTAACTACACGCTACACCAGCCTGGGTGTAACTACACCCTACACCAGCCTGGGTGTAACTACACGCTACACCAGCCTGGGTGTAACTACACGCTACACCAGCCTGGGTGTAACTACACGCTGCACCAGCCTGGGTGTAACTACACGCTGCACCAGCCTGGGTGTAACTACACGCTACACCAGCCTGGGTGTAACTACACGCTACACCAGCCTGGGTGTAACTACACGCTGCACCAGCCTGGGTGTAACTACACGCTGCACCAGCCTGGGTGTAACTACACCCTACACCAGCCTGGGTGTAACTACACGCTACACCAGCCTGGGTGTAACTACACGCTGCACCAGCTTGGGTGTAACTACACGCTGCACCAGCTTGGGTGTAACTACACGCTGCACCAGCTTGGGTGTAACTACACGCTGCACCAGCCTGGGTGTAACTACACACAACGCCAGGTAATACACACACACACACACACACACACACACACACACACACACACACACACACACACACACA